GATCCCGAGATTACCGAGCGTAACCGTTGCGAGATTAGCGGGACTACCACCCATAAGTAGAGGACTTCACTCCACGATCAGGTACGATGATTTCTGACCTCGAACTAAACTGGGAATCCGACCTATACTGACTTGATCGTCGGAGTGCTCACCTTTCTGTGCAGGTCCGCCCAAGTATTCAGGTCGGTCCAGAGGCCGAGTTCCAGCTGCGATCTGGAATACACTATTGTGCATATCCTTGCATAAACAATATTCAATAACATCAGTCAAATACTTCTATAATAATCCAAAACTAATATGTTATGCAGTACCATATATACAAAATTCAAACTTCTACCTATTATAAACAAGACAAAAGCATTTCTAATCTACCAAGTACTAGACAGAAAGTAGTCTGAACCAAATACTTACATCAAATAAACAAAACTAATGAATCCATAGGTACTACACAAATCGCCCAACAAAAGATGTCCATTATATTCGAACTTCGTCGATTTCTTCTTGTTGATAGGCACTTTTTGTATTAAACTACAAAAAAAAAATAATACTAATATAAGGACAAATCATATATAAACACATACAGGTATATGATAATACGTACAAGTTCAGTTATAGGAGTATCAGGGTTTCGCACTATTTCTCGTATATACTTTTGCAGATAGTTTCCAYACTCGATAGAATCTGATTGTYGAGGACACTACATATAGAAAATTTGAAAAATAACATAATTATRAGTTATACAAAGGATTTACTRSGACATTGATATGAGTTATGCAAATTTACCTTCACAGGTTTCCAAATTGTACTACTRCGAGATTGTTGAGTAGAATGTTTTGCTTGCCACATTTTCAATGATCTAAATAATTTGAAACATTASAATAACATAATTATAMAAATTTCAATTATAAKAGTTCAAGGCACTTACGTGTTTATGATTCTCCCTTTACAACTTCAATATGCAAAAATCACTTTCGCATTCAAACATCATAATTATTTTCTTAAAAAATTTATGCTCTTTCCATATAAAAAAAAACAGAGTTGAATCTTCTTCTAAGAAATCCTTGAAAAATCAATTATTATTATTTATTTATCACGAGAGTATATAGAATTATCTCAAATTATGCACATAACAATTAATTAAAGGAAATTCAATACCTTTGACCATTAATTAAGACTCTTCCACACGCAGAGGTCAAGACAAAGTGTGTATTCATAAATTTTGGGTATTGAGTTGTACTGTATTGAATTGAATTGTTAGACCACATGACCAATCTATGCTAGGGCTCTCAACCTGTTCTATATAAGTGAAACATTCCACAGTTATAGATGGTTCAATTCATTCTTTGCATAAATCACTTAAGAATTCATACTGATTCTTCCAAGAAAAATAATTAACCAAAATAGTTACACAAACACACAGAGATCAGCAAAATAGACAGCTGGTCAGAAAGTTGGAAACAAAAGGCAAGTATATCGGGGTGCCAGAGCATTTTAACTAAGACGTGCAATAAAATCAAAATTCAAAAGCATATTGCTATATTACATGTTTCCCACATGAGAGCCCCTAAATGTCAGTTTCCCAGTAATATTTTTCGGCAGAAAACAAGAGTTTCACGACTTTCTAATATCTGGGCGACACAAACCCCTCCCACCACAATGAAAGACCAAACTTGAGATTTTGTCTTTTATATTTTGGGGGAAAATGAAACCAGATTGAAAAATTAGGGTAGTTCAGTCATGATTGGACTACCTATTCAAATCCAATTTTGAGGCTCTGCATTTTTTTTTTTGCTTCTTCTTCTACTTTTCAAGAACCGAGGAGCAACAAAATCTGTAGAACTCAAAAGGTAAAGAGAAGAGAAATTGTTCTACATATATATATACTACACAAACTCAGATGTGGAGCAAATTTCATTTACCCACCACACAAACTCAAACTTAAAGTAGAGACTCAAACTCATTCTTGATGAAAAAAAGCCAAATCGATAAATAATCCAAACTCAAACCAGAAGAAAATTACTGATCAAATTAGAAGAAGATGAAAACGAGCGAATATAAGGGAAGATGAAAAAAACCTTCGATATTGTCGCCGCTGCCGTATATTCGCTCCTTGCCACCGAATCGAAGGTCACCGCTGCAGATTGTTGCTTTTTGCCGTCGAAAATTGCTCCTCACCGTTGAGTCTCGATCGCGCCTCCAGTAAGTAGTCGTTTGCTCCCCTTCCTACAGCAATGGAATAAGGTTTACACCGGTTTCTCGATAGGGTAGAGACGGTTCGCATGACAAAGGGAGCTGGGGAGGCAAAAATTTTCGGGCGTAAAAATTTTGGGTGAAAATTTTAATTTATGGTTAAAATCGGGCACCTTTCATGGCGGGCCAGACCCACCATTAAAATTATAATGTCGGGCTAGGCCCGACATGGATACTAAGTGTGTCTGTCATGGTTGCCTCCGTGTTTTTCTTGTGCGACATCATTTCCTCCGCATTTTTTTTGTCCGACATTGAAACTAAGATTTGTTGTAGTGGTTATAGTTGGATGTATCCGATTGAGAGGTATGACTATTTATACATTTTGCTTCAAAGTATATCTAGTGATATTAGCTAATTGATATAGCATATTATCGTAGGAGTTTGCAGACATTGAAACAATATGTAAAAAATAAAGCTCGGCCCGGGGGTTCTATAGTAGAAGCGGTCATTGCAAATGAGGCATTGACGTTTTGCTCAATGTACCTCGATGGAATTGAAACAAAATTCAATAGGCTAATTCGAAATGATGACATGTTGGACCTGAATGACTCAAAGGCACATCTTCCTGTATTTTCGCAAAATGCACGACCAATTGGTGGTTCACAATTGAAAAAACTATCGTCTGCGGAGTTACGAAAGGCGCACTGGTACATTCTAACCAATTGTGAAGCAGTGGATTCATATAGACGATACAAATTTTTATGTACTTTTATTGGTATGCATAGTCGATAAGTTTATTTCAAATGTTATTCATTGTTAGTTTCATTTCACAGAAAACATGAATTAGAGTTACAACAGCAAAACAATAATGGTAATTTAGCCAGTTTGCATGAAGTATTATTTCTATAGTGGTTTAAAAGAAAGGTGAGTTTTACTCCATCAAAATATCGTACACCATCTATCCATTATGGTTAACTATTTTCATAATGACGTTTGGTCTTG